GGGGGGGGGGGGGGGGGGGGGGGGGGGGGGGGGGGGATTGGGCACATCAGCTCGGGCAAGGGAGGGATCCCGAGAGGGGAGTACGTGCCCCGCTACGCAGCCGGCAATGGTGTGTGCGCGGCAGGCATCGACAGGAGCAAGGCGGCGTCAGGGGGGAGCCAAGGGCAGGCGAGTGCTTTTCACTTTTGAGCAGACTGCGGGGAGGCACTGCTTGAAATTTTATTGGAAAGCGCTGTTGTTTTGGTTGTGATTCTTGAGGAATCCCTCGCGTTCCGCCTACACTAAGAGAAAACCCAGAAAAACAGGATTTCGTATGGATTGGTACATCTTCGACAAACAACCCTTGGCCTCCAAATGCAAAGTCTGCATCAAATACGAATGCCCTACCTGTGAGAGGCTGCAGGAAGCACGGACTTGTACGCCGGGCATAGTGCAATCCACCACCCTGCGTCACACCATGCTATTGGAGAATGATGACAGATAAAACTCAGTTTGTGGCTCTCCTAGAGGGACCTGTAACGTTCGGACCAGACCCAGCGGTGGTCCACCACTCGTCATCAGACAAGCAACGGAACAAACAACACCAAGTTTGAATACAACCTCACGCCGTCCGCAACCCGTCCGCCGCCCCCCCCGCCCGTGTCTCCCTGCAGTACCGATCACACTCGCCCACACCAGCAGCAACCCAGGGGACCAGCACCACACCTCCATCGAGGCTTCAAGCACCTCCTCGGCCAAAGTCAGCGGCAGCGCGTCATCCAGACAGCACCACCGCGCAGCCACCGGTACCGCCGCTACCCGCACCATCTACCGGCGGCGATTCAAGGGGGACGGGGGTACCCGAGGTAGGGCACGTGAAGAACGCGCCTCTCGGCGGTGCCGCCGGGGATGGTGAACCGGCAACAGCTGCGGCGCCCCCTGGCGACGCTACCGCCGGCAGAACCGAGTTTCGAGGCGCGGATCATGGAGGGGGAGGGGGGTCATCGGCTCGACGGTCACACCGTCGCCCCCGCCCGCGATCCGCGGTAGCTCGGGTCGAAACCGCCTCTCACCATGGAAAGGCGAGAGGGAGCTGTTTGTTCGGCGTCACAAAAGAAGCATCGTCGTAGGGTTGTGAGGAATGTACTCGGGACAATTTCCGCAGTTTCCATGCCCAGCGTTTCAGAACCTTACCAAATCGAGAGGAGAGAAAACCACGGGGTTGTGTGTTGTCAGCGGGTAGAGCGGGTAGAGTGAGCAATACCGCGGTGTTTCATGTACATACCTCACTCTCGTCCCCTTCGTATCAAATAACCCCCCCAACTTGCAGATGGCCACCACGACACCGGTACCAACGACAGCAGCCACCCGCGCTGCCGTAGCAGTCACCACGAAGTTGAAGGCAGCGGCCGCTGCCGTCGCTTTCGCTACCCACCGTGGCTCTAGCAGTTCTAGCGGCGGCGATGGCTTCCGTGGTAGTGAAAACGTTGGTCGGGCAAGCGGCGGCCTGGTAGGCCGGACACGGGTGGCTCCTCGACCTCAGTCCGCGGCGATAAGACGGAGCACGGTGACCGGCTCATACGGACAGAGGTGCGACGGGGGCTACAGAGCTGCGGGATAGAGTCAATGATTATTCTCAACCATTTTGGGCTACCGAGTCATGCGGTGGGGCACAAAGCGGACATGGGGGGTCGGCAGGCGGAAAGGGCCGGGGTACTTCAGCAGCTTGCTTATTTTGTAGTCTTCAGGCTAGAATAGTTACCGCAAATGCGCCTCACGGATTGCGCATGACTTGTTCGAACAACGCATTGGAGAGTGGTGACCTAAGATGTTGCACTAGGTGTGGTTGGATTTCATGTGAGCTCGAAATTCCTCGATCGTGATTCCTCGGTGGGCGTTGTTCGTCAGCGGGAAAAAAAGGAACCACGGTGTTTGGACAGGGGTTGAGAACTATTTTCAACGCCCTAAACACTAAGTTAGTGTCATGCCGCTGAAGCAAACGCACGGTAGATCTCTTGTTTTGAATAGTTTGTTGAACACGCGCCACCCCATGACCTGAGCAAACAGACAAAGACACACATACATTGTGTTGACTTCTTAACGCGCCTATATAAAATTTCTGCTCGAAATCTCAATGCGTCTTCACGAGGTAGCTTCTACGCTTTTTTGTCCTCAGCCAAGAAGGTGACTCATCCCTCGGCGGGGATTTGTGATGGAATTTCAGACGGATGGTCTCTGGCCCCGCTGAGTCTGTTACCCTCTTCTGGACGTATATAGCTCCATCAATCCTGTTTAGTTACTTCATGGGTACGTTGCCTTCGACGCACAGGAGCCAACGAAAGAGCATGGAGCGCGTGATGGCTAGGATCTTTCAGCAACAAAGGCTCTGGGCAGGCGAGCAGGGAGGCAACAAGGGGATTATCGAAGGTCAGCTGTTTATTGTAGCCCTTCTTGACATTGACCCCTCGCTTGGAGATGAGATGAAAAATAGTGCACGAACTCCGTTAAGATGGTGGGAGTGCCCCTGTCGTCGTTTCGAAATGCCTCAATTCGTACTATTTTTGGACTATCGTGGTGAACTTTTCCAGTGAGGCATGAACGCTGCAGTACAAGTGTCTCTGCGACCAATTTACACGTCTCCGCTATCTCATTCATAACGCCTCCCTCCGAAAACCAGCGAACGCTGCAGTACACGTGTCTCTGCGACCGATTTTTACGTCTCCGCTGTTTCATTCATAACACCTCCCTCCGAAAACCAGCATAAACTGTTGTAGAAATTTCGGGTGACGGAACCTCCAAACGGCACACACTACGGGTCGCGTCTACCACTAACATAAAGCACCACCTTGCTCAAATTCCCAGTCCTGATACATCCCTCTTGCAACGGCTGCCGCAAAGCACCTTGGAAAGAAAAGGGGAGGGTTGGTGGTGAAAATCAGGCGCTACTAGTCACAACGTTTGTGCGACTACCCTGTTCCGCGTGTGCTGCCAAAATATCCCTCTCCCATTTTATGGTTTGTCCATGATCCTCGGGACTTGTGCTTTCACCAAGCGCTGACTACAGCAACGTCTGGTCGACAGAAAGAGGGTCTGCTAGAGGCACCTCTCTTGGAACCGAGAGAACCGAATCAACATGACTGGAGCCAACAAGCCATCGAAGACAGCAAAACTAGGCGCTGTTTTGTAGACGCATCCCAGTTCTCCCGCCGCACAACAAACGCCAGTTCGTTCCGTCTACGACAACGATTGTTCCGCCATCGATTATCGCCGTAATGTCAAGAAGATCATGACCATACCTGTATCAGCCTCGAGGGTCCTCCAGCCCCTGGGGCACCGCTGCGTCACTTTGCCTCACTTCTTGCCCCTTTCCGCCTTATTCAATCATCTCATTCAATCACCTCGTTTGACGTTGATCAACGCCCTCTTCCCTTCCCGCCCGTCCCTGAAGGGAACCCGAAAACGCGGCAAGCCCGACAGACTCACCGCCCGCAGTCCGCCCGCACCGCCCCTCCCTACTCGACGGCTGCTGCCGTCGCCGCCAAAGAGCAACAGCAGCAGCAGGCCCACCACCCAAATCCGAAGCCGCACACTTGGGTGCCGGCAACGCCTGCTAAGACCTCTTCCGCCCTCATGGCCGCAGCGGCGGCGACTGCGACGCGGGGCTCTCCGAACAGTGGTGGGAAACACTTGCACGCCGTTGTGGGAGGAGAAGGGAAAACATCGACGGCGCCGGCGACGGGGCGAGGAGGAGCGTACGCACGCCTATTCGGGATGATACACCCCGGGGCGCATCGACGGGTAGGCGTGGACCCTCTAGACGGCTTCAAGAAGGACCACTACCGGGGGGGTGCAGCAGCAGCAGCAGCAGCAGCAGCCGTTGATGCGAGCGCGCCTTTTTCCGGCGACATCGGCGGGGTGAAACACGGGCAAGGAGCGGGCGTAGAAGAGGTGTCTAAGCCCAGGAAACCGGATGGGGATGTGAGCCTCGACGGGAAGCGAGGAAATAGTGACCATGTGATATTGTTGGGGGCTGTCTTAGTTGTGCTTGGATTTTTTCATCGGTCGATCCCCGGCTGAGCCTTGGAAATTTCGTTCGTTTCGGCCTGTTCGATAGACAGCTGTTTTCGAAGAGCTCCTCGATTTGACTGTATGGTCTGCGCCGATAATCGATTGGGGGTGATTGCTCAGAGTGCCTGAACGACGTGCATCACACAAGGAGCGCTCTTGCGTGCAGCACCAATTTTTCCCCCTTGTTTTGCTCGTGGGTACATCAATACGTACTGTGACTTGTCCGACCTAAAGCACGGAGAACGATGCAGCACCGATGCCGACGAACCGCCGTCCTCTCCGACGCACCCTCATTTTCACCCCCCACCCCGAATGACGAAATTCTTCCGTTGGTGGGCAGACAAACGCTGTAGAAACCCAGGCGACTATTTCCACCGCAAACACCGGCTCGCTCACTCCTCCCGAGGGAAGTAGCAGCGCCGAGGGGGGCCGCACAACTGGGGAGGGGGGGATACGCGCCCCGCCCCCGGTGGAGCCGCTGACCAAGGCCTCGGCAGAGTGCTGCAGCCCTCAGGTGCGTACTCCTCGAGTGCGCCGGTCGGGAGCGTGCACAGAATAATGTTCCGCCACAGAATAATAGTTGGCGTCAAGCTGCTAGCGTGGCGGAACATCGGACAAGCGTACACGCTTTGCAGCCCGTTTCACGTCTTCACAAGATACACTGTTCCTTGTACTTGGGGCTAAATTTCCGCACTATCAAGTTAATGCTCGGCTGAACATCACAATTCCATGTGATGACTCGCCTGGCGGGAAACTCTTGAAGGGGCAGGTTTCCTCAAACGATGCCAATGACCGGATATTGCATCGGCTCGTTTGTAGTTTCGTACTGCGGCTGCTTGACAAATGTTTTTCACCGAAGGCTCTCCCTCTTTACGCAAGTATCCTAAAGAAAACAAGACATGAAGGACTCCCTAAACGTTTGCGCGTTAAACGTCGTTATACAGGAACGGCTGTACCTCCGGAGACTACTGCTTGACCTGCAAGGAAGCGCTCGCAGCAGTCTGGACTTCTATCGCCTGGGCAAGGTTGTCGGAGAGGGATCGTTCGCCCAGGTACCTACCGACCTACGTCGTGCCGCGGGGGTTTTTTACCACGCAAGTATTTGCCGCGCGCGGGGCTGAGGCGGCGGTGGCGACAACTAACAGCGGGGAGTTGATGCTGGTGTCGTCTCTTCCTTTGAAGGGTTGGCTACCATTGGGACCACGAGTGGAACCGATTTTGTGCGTTGAATGAAGATACGATCGTTCGAACATCCTAGGGTTGAGCCACGGACGCGAGAGAAGGGGGCAGTGGTACAAGTACGTCAGGAGGGAAGAAAGCTTTCTTGTATTCCTTCTGCGTGCGTTCTTTTTTTCCGGGTATTAACAACACATTTTGACGTGGCACAACGAACGTGCTGCCAAACGATCGTGTACGTGCTGAATGAAGGTTCGAGTGGCGTGGCACAAATTGACGGGACAGCGAGTAGCCGTCAAGACCTACGAGAAGGCCAAGATAAAGGTAAGGCGAGACGGTTCGGAGTACAACCCATTACTCGTCGGCTGGAGGTTTACTGGTGGGGACTATAGAAGCCGAAATCAACCATTAGACTAGTCATCGCTGACTTGTCTAAGCGTTTGATTTCGGCTCCTTATAGGAAAGGAGTCGGCATGAACTGCTGCAACGTTTCAACCAGCTTCTACCGTCGAGCGAAGCACCCGCCGTCCACATCACGGTTCGTTCCAGCGTACAGTACCCTGACCGAGGAGCTTGGAAACTTGCGGCATTCAGCGTAATGACGGCTTTCGACGTAAGCGTTCGCGATACCTCCTCATTTTGCCTTTTCCGGGGAATTCGCTTTTACCTTTCGTCCGCAGGATGAGAACCAATGGAAGCGGATATCTCAGGAGGTGAAGCTCATGGAAAAGCTCAATCACCCTCGGGTGATCAGGCTATTCGAAACGGTGAGTTTGACACTCCGACGTTTAAGGGCCGACGTGATTCGGGGGTTGGTGTATGAAGAGCACTTGGGCATACGTTCCTATAGTTTTGGTGGATGTATTCCACGCCATCAGTCCCACTTTCTCGTTGGGGGTTCTGTCTCGGAGAAAAAACTGTTTCTAGAATAGAAAATGCGTGAGCTTATCGGAGTCGTTCCTGGAAACTTGAATGGCGTCATCAGTAGCTACCCGAGCGAATCAGAGGCCTTTTCTCAAATGACAAGACTGTCATCCCTTCCCGGTGAATACAAAGTCCGCCGTACCACCCAAGTCGATATAAATCTTCGCCACCCTAGATGCCCTGGGGTAAAACCTTCAAGCACGGCACGTCTACTTGACAATATATAGCAACGTGGATGATCCGATCGGAATAATACTGCTTGTCTAGGCCGAGAGCTCCAAAAGGATTCACCTCGTGATGGAGTACGCTGACGGCGGCAACCTGTGCTCGTACGTGAAGCGCCGAAAACGGTTGGATGAGGGAGAGGCTCGACGCATCCTTCGCCAGCTTCTCGAGGGGGTGGGTGAAAAATGTCATTGTAGCAACCATATACCTCACATGCCGTCATTCCTCCAGATAACGGTACATTGGGAAATTCAACACAAGACCTTGACCGCCAGCGCGAAGTCTAGGAATAGTCTATTCCTGCATGTATCAGACGTTGTTACCTGCTGTCAGCTACGGACGGAGGTGTAGCCCATGTGAGCCCGGCAGCGTGCGCAGCCGGATCCATGCTTCGCAAGTCCGACAGAGCGTGCTCTGCCAGCGCATGCATCAAGGCACTTCTTGCGCATAGCTCCAGCCGGCATTTTTGTGCCACCTCCACAAGTGATGACCTTGATACATCTGGTTGTGGCTTGGGCTAACACCGCCTATAGGTGGACTACATGCACGGCCTTGACATCGTGCATCGCGACATCAAGCTGGAAAACGTCCTACTGGGCGGGAGCGGTCGTTCCAACGCCAAGCTGGTCGACTTCGGCTTCAGCGCTAACGTCAAGAACCGAAGACTTCTTCACGTCTTCTGCGGTGAGTTCGGTGGTCATGATGATGCCTCACCGTAGTGATCCAGAAAACAACGTCGCTAGCAGCTTCCTAACAACCCACGAAAAGCAAGAGCGAGAAGGCAGGGGATTGAATAATCCAAGAAGCAAGTCCCGAACGGCACGCAACGCTGAAAATAGTAGGCCTACGCGGTTCGTCGAATACTGAACTCTCGAGCCACCGCGCGAGCTGAACACGAAAGGTCAAGTGATCTGAAGTCGCACTTTTCGGATCATCCGCCCTGGATTCACGGTCGGCTCTCTGCAGCTATCTAGTTGAGTGTCGAGTTGGTGTTTCCTCGATCCACAGACTGTAGCGTCAAAAAGCACTAGCGCTTCCGCAGAAGAAAGCAGGAGCATGAAGAGCAGGGCGGAAAAACGACGTCTATTGCACGTTAGCCAGAAGACAATGACGCGACAAACGGGCCAATCGTAAGAAACTCAGTGCACATTAGACACACACGTTTGGTGTACAAAACACCGGGATAACCCTAACTGTTCGCCCGTCAACTGCTAGGCACGCCTTCGTACATGCCGCCGGAAATAATCAAGCGCCAGGAGTACGAGGGGAAGCCTGTCGATGTTTGGAGCCTCGGAGTCGTCCTGTACGCAATGCTCTGCGGGTACGTGTGCCCGCACGGCAGGAAAATAAACACACTCACAGGCGGAAGCGGTGTCGGGATCGGGTAGGGCCGTGTGGGCTTCGACTGCGTTCGAAACGAACACACGGCCTGGTGGCGAATTATAAATTCACGTCCTTGTACCTTCTAACATTGCCGAAGGTTCAAGGCGGCCACAGGATCGTTGTAGCAGTACCATAGTGGCGTTGGCCCGGTTGCTCTGCTGTCTTCGTGGCGAAGAGCGTCAGGTAGCGTATTTTTCGGTGAGCACCGGCAAGGTAAAGCGATGCCGGACAGACTTCCCGTGGACGTGACACTTGGAATGATTTAGGGGTTAATTTGCGCTTCCGTTCGTGCTTTCGAAAAGACAGGAAACGGGTCGAGCAGCACGAATCAAGCGCGAGTTCGAGAAACATGTTGTCCATACCTGAAATTCGTTATTGATGTGTGCACAGGCAGTGCTTCGGCGTACAATTGCAAGGCACCGCCAAGTGTTTTTTTCCCATCGTGTCTACCAGCGGCTTGCCTGGTACACGTGTCCCGTCCACTCTACCCTACCGGGAGGTCCTTCCCTTACGCATGTCTCATCCAACCATCGTCTTCTTCCCCTCCCTACTCCGCTTTGTGATGTGCTAACCGGTGAAAACACGACGTACTCCGTCCCGGCCTTGCAGGGATGCGAGATCAATGGCCTAACGACTATGGCATGCGTTTTCATGAGCACCTCCCCCCCAGTCCGTATCCTTTTAGCTTACCGAAGCCATAACCCTCTTGTTCGCATCCCTGCATCCCGCTCGAACTTTTCCTCCTTGTCGGTTGTCCTTCTTCTTTCGTGCGGTCCAATCACGATTCATGATCCTCGAAACAAAGTTGCTTCCCCTTCTCCGGGCCGAGATACCCCGAGCTCTACAAGAACATATCCAAGGGCGTGTTCCGACTACCGGATTGGTTGTCGCCCGCGGCGATAAGTCTCGTTCGAGGAATGCTTGTAACGGATCCTTCTCGGCGGCTCACCCTCCGCCAGGTGAGTAGTAGTAGTAGTAGTAGTTGTTGTCGTTGTCGTTGTCGTTGTCGTCGTCGTCGTTGGTGCTGTGTTGCGTTGTGTTGTGTTGTGTTTGTTGTTTCGCTCTCTTTTTTCAACGCCCCTGTTTTTGATGCTCGCTGTCGTTGTTGTAGATTGCTGTCTTTGTCGCCGTAGTTGTCTTCTATTGGTCGTTGTTGCTGCCATCGTGGTTCATGTATTCTCTCCGAGTGTAAGGCACAGGCTTCGCATCGACGTCCGCAGTTTTGGCAAGTGGTGACGTGCAGAGAGTTGGTGGTAAACTAACCCAAGTCTTCACCGACAGGTTTGCGCTCACCCATGGGTCTTGCCGCCCCGAGCGACGGGCAGGGTGTCCACCGGGAATCAGTATCCGGGCTTGGCGGCCTCTGATGGGGGTGCCGTTGCTGATGACTCGCAGTCGTCGCGAATACCACACGATAGTCTAGGCAGTTCAACTCCCCTCAAGAGAGACAGCTTCCACATCAGCAACGATCCGACCCGTGACATTTGTGCGGCGAGCCTGAAGAAAATGGAGGCTTTTGGGGCTAACGGGGAAGAAATCGCTCGACAGGTGAGCTTGTTCAAGAAGCACGACATGATGCTCGTGCACTTTTTTCCTTCTATTGCCGAAACTCAGGTGCAGAAGACAACATCTTCAGAGACTGTTCAATTGAAGTAGAAAATATCCCGGAGCTTACAACGGGCTCGCACAAGAAACTCGTGGAGGCCACCGGTTGATTTATCGATCCGTTGAAATAGTTCGAGCGCCGGTGCAAAGGTCGGCAGGTCGGAAGATGTTGTGGACGGTGTGTTCATGCCCGAAGCGTGCCGCCTGAAATCATCTGTGTTCCCACCGCCCTCCATGTGCATGTGGTGCGTTCACTCTCTTTAGGGTGAACTATTGTTTTGGGTGTACGTGCGCGAATGCGGAGAACTCTTGTTTCTCCCGAGATGCCGACCAGCCTTGATAGAAACGACTCCAGAAGTGACCGTCCCGCAGTGTTTCCCCACCACATAATCGTTCGTGCCCGGCTCGCGGCGACGGCGTGAACCATGTTGCACACAGAAGCAATAACTCCCGTCGCGTGTTCGGAAGCAGCACCAATAAAAAATCGCGCGCATTGTTTCCCTCCGTCGAAACCACCGTACCGTCGCGTTACTCTACTCAGGTGCTTGCCCGACGGCATAGCTGCCTCACAACAACTTTCTACCTGCTCAGGAACGAACTCAGCACAAACGGTGGGGCGGCGGAGGCGGGTGCGCCTCGACCAGAGAGTGCGACTAGCAGCTCGAGTAGAGGCGCGGCTAAGCCCCGGCACGCGAACGTTAGACCGAGCAGCGCGAGTGGGGACAACCGGGGTGGTGCTGGGGTGGCCAAGAGAAGGGACAGCGGGGGTGGAAGCAGAAACAGTAGTGCTAGCCAAGGCACTGGCAGGACCTAATGATGGCCGGAAGCTCAAGCTGAGAAGAGCAAAGCGTGGAGAACAGCTGCGTTGGGGCACTTCATGATGTGGAAGGGCGTTCTTCGCGGAAGCTGTCAGATTTGTATGAAGGGCGTCCAGCAGAACGGCCTCAATACCCAAATACCGACAGAACGGGTAGTGGCACTGATCTACATATTTCACCGGGTTTCTAATCCTTTAATGAAAATGAACACGCATGTACGGTGCCTGTAAAATAGGCTCGCACGATTGACGAATTAGATCTTAGAATGGGCGTTCTGTACCATACACTGGCACCGCGTGTAGGCTAGGTTGAGGAGACCGACCCCGTCGATAGATCTGGACTGATGCCGTCAAGACTAAGCGGCAACAGCCTCTTGCTAACTGCACATCTTTTCGTCAAACACATTCTTTGAGGAAACTGTGCGTTGTCTAGGGGGTGCCGAGTCTAAACAATCCTCCCGAGACACCAGGGGGGAATCAGGCAGAGGGAGAACCTCATCCCGGCAACGGAGGGCTCGATTGAGGTGGTATACAGGGGTCAGGGCTAGGGTTAATTTGGCCCACAAGCCAATGACAATTAAATACCGCAAATGCCACCAGCAGGCATTGGTTGGTCGCGGGGAGAAACCAATCCAAGGATTGTCTTCTTTCCACAACGTATACGACCTTCCCGAAATGGTTTTCAGTCCCGCACAGCAGGGTGCGATCCGCACAGGGCGCGCTGTCCCACCCCGAGCTTCTTCAACAGAAATAGAAGTATTGTCACGTCAAAGTATTATCATGCGAGAAAGAGTTCCGCGAGTTGTTTCTAGCACTTGTCGTCGACCATTAGCGTACTCCCCCCCTCTGTCAACTTTTCGGGGGCGCTGTAACGGATGCAGCGTAGACGAATGTGTCGCCTCGAGACTGCCACCTGAACGCTGCGACGAAACCACGTGCTTCAAGTTCATCAAATAAGATCGCATCGAAATGTGCCTAGACTATCCACCAGCAATGAAGGTGTAACGTTCCTCTTGTAGAGCAGTGGTCATTGATTCTAGACCACCATTGCCAATCGCCACAGGTGACCCTGCCGTGCCGTTGTGGGTATCTCCACGCGACACGCTTTGTAGAACAGAATAACGACAAAATAGATAATCCATGGCGCCGCACCGTCGATGTGGAAGCTGCGGCTGATCTGGCGATACCTTGCCACAATAACCGATTCAACGCTTCTGACGGTACGTGCTACAAGACAAATGCCTCAAAAAAACCAGCGGCGAATTCATCAGCGGTTATTATTGGAGCAGTCTGAAGCCGAGGCGTGCTCCTCGCGAAAGCGTCCCACGACAGCTGCGGCATCCGCAGCGCGAGTAGCATCCTCCGTATTATTTTCTGATCCAATCGACCACAGTTTGACGGGTCGTGCAATTCTGGTACGGACGAATCACGAATAACGTAGTCAAGGCGGAAGGTCATTGCGGTAATCATCAAAATCAGGCTTGGTCGTGCTTCGCAGAATAGATTCGGATTCGTGTCTACGAGCATACCCACAAGGGCAAAATACAAAAGTGGGGCGCGGTGCCATGCCCAAGGCCCTATATGAGCGGTGCACTACGCCGAACCGTCGGAGGTACTTGTTCACTTGAAATAGTGAGCGACGTGAGGACGATAGAGCAATGTATATGGCAAATTTCCTCTAGGTCATTCCAGGCATTCGTTATGGTTCCCGGTGTCGCCATTTTGTTCTGAATCGTTTCACCAGAAGTACATCGCCAACGGTTCGCCATGGACGGAGTATTCGATGTTGCTCGCTTACAAATGATTGTATCATCATTATTTCCTGCTGTTTTTCGCTACATTATGACCACAACATACCGAAGAGTCGCTTCACATCCTCTAGCCGAAGGGTCACCGGTGCCCCGCCCCCATGCTTGCTGAAGCGCTTGACGTCCTGTTGGAGATATTTGGTGTTTATTGGTACTCTTCCGCATTCATGTGAAAAATATGGAGTGAAGTTATCATAGCGAGAACGAGAGAATTGAAACAAAGTTTGACCGTGACTGAAACCAAGCATCTTGTAGCTACATGTCATACACAGGGAGCTACAGGATTCATTGGATCGCTTGACAAACGTATTGAGTCAAATATGCGCTGTGCAAACAAGATTCCCGCACTTGAGGGTTTGGAAGGAAAGTGAAAGAGTCGTGTTGCGCCACGGTTTCTTCTCAGAGACAAGCGTATCTGACTACTCGTCAAGTCCCTGCTGGATAGTGAGTGAGTTTGCACTTCGCAGAAGCCAAGCTGTTCAACTTGTCACTCTCACCATTGAGTTTTCGTACTCGATCAGGTGTCGGATAAGGTGATGCTGCGCCGTAGATGCCTTGTTGAAGATCACAGGTACGAGCTCACCTACCTCGACACTACCGGACATATCCTGGATCGTGAGAGGTACGGGTGAATTATTGCCCGGAGGTGTTGGTAGGAAGGGTTGTTCGCGGGGCTCGTCCTTCAAGTTTCGGCCAAAATTCATGTGAGAAACGACAACGTTCAGATCCTCAGGCAAGCTCACGCGGTCCTCGATGTTACGAAACACACCTTGTCCAGGTGAAGAAACATACTGCGCATGTTGATAACTGCCACGTTGCTCTTGAAACGGTCAAGGAACCGCCGCCACTCCTCGGAATCTAGACAGCCGCTCATATCCTCGTCCACAAAGTTGAAAGCGGCTGCAGCCACATCATGATGTTCAAAACACAAAAAATCATCAGCGCATGCAACAGAAAGCGGGATAGAAGAAGCAAGACCGCACAGGGACGGGCACAGGCGAAAGTCAAGTTGGGTGCGTGAACGCATTTCACTCATTTTCGGCAACCTGACCAAAAACGAATCGTTGGGCCAGTGAATCGCGCCAGTGAGTCACGCCAACGGCGTTGAATGAACCAATCGGCGACGTTTCACGAAAGGCCGCTCACACAACTTCGCTCCTTCCCAGTTTTGTATGAACGAAGAGAGAGGAAGTGCATGTGATTGTGATATCCAAACGTTCTTTGATACCGAACGTAGTTACAACATCGGAGCCGGTCATGATCGAAAAATATTGCGAAGGTACATTTCGTCCCTCAGTTCTGCTTGGAAGATCAGGGGGCATACGATAGTATTACCCAAACTGTCCATCACCCACCATCTCCACCACCATCACCACCACCATCATCACCACTACTACCAACATGACCGTCACCACACCAACACCATAGCCCATCCACGTAGGTGCACGAGTGCTCAGCTTCGTGTTGTGCATCGTGCTGCCGTTGGGGCGGAGTGCTATGCCCGCGCGCAGTAAACCGGAAGACGGGAATGTGGCGCGCGTGGCTAAGGGCTATGTTGTGCCGAAAATACCGTTGAAATGACGCTCACCCCTAAATTCCATCACGTCCTGAAGAGTGTAGTGCGGTCCCAACTGTCCCGGGCGGGGACCCTTGGCCAACGGATTTCTGTTGAGTGTTCGCCTCTGCCGGTCTCTCGCTTCTCTGAATCGCGATGTCCAGTTGCAAGAGCGAGAGTGAAGAGTAACGAACTTGCTCGGTAGAGTCTTTTCGAAATGGTTGCCTCGTTATACGCTGTCATGGCAGCGAGACAGCTGTCTGTCTGTCACAGCGATGCCGGCAAAGGGGGAAGGGGAAGGGGAAGCACGAGTACCCGATATTTTCACATCTACCCCCGCGAGCGCAACAACAACAACAACAACGTTGGCCCTAACAGAACCTGCCAAAAAGATACGAAGGCACACAAGACCGAATCCTCGGCAAGCATGTAGGGAAGAGCCCTTCGAGAAACAGAACAGCACTTTCTCGGGGTCGGTGAGAGAAGTCAATCTTCACCTCCGCCTGGCGTGGTCATTTCCTTTTACCAGAAGCGCGACGATCTTTTGCTGCAGCTTGACCAGTTCCTTGCTCCTCTTCTGGACCTCGACAGGCACGAGGTGGGCCCTCCCGCTCCCGCTGGCCTATTCGGTGGCCCCGTGGGCAACACAGGCGGGCGAAGGTGTTTGGCGGATGGCCGCTGTGGTATTGTGTGAGCAGATTTTCGCAATGCCAACGAAATGACCCCTCGCCGTTGGGAAGCTGGTAGAGAGGGGCGGGGGCGGGGGGTGCTCTCATAGTCGTGCATGCCGTAGTCGTTAGACCATTGACCTCGCATCCCTACAAAGCCGGGACGGAGCACGCCGGGTTATCACCGGACCAGGCTCTTACATCACCAAGCGCGAAGTGCCGTGAGATATTCGGCGAGTCGCATGAAGGGTGTGCTGCATCCTGCTCAGGGTGTTCGGCATCTTGTGCTTCCTTGCGTACAGATAACAGCTGCGTATGACTAAATTTATTTTTTGGGGCTTCACCTCCAGGGACAGTTGTAAGCACTGTGTAACTGCCTCGAGGGTGCTTGACCTTTTTAACACAACGTGGTGCGATCATCCCCCTTGCGCGGAGTGAGGGTTCTCCACCCCGCACAACATGATCTACTCGACCACCATTATGGTTACCGCCCCAAAAAAACCCGGTAACCTGGTTGCCGAGTTCACAAAGTGATTTGGCTTGTTTAACAACGTCGTTGCCAAGCGACGAAAACCCAACCCCGATGGCAAACACCGGAGGGGAGGAAAGCTGGCTGGGAGAGGGAATGGATTGTACGAAAGCATCGAAGAGAGGAAATCTCAAAGGTTAGACCGGGGTTGTGCGGAAGCAGACGCCAAAGAGAGAAATATGCTGCTGAGAGGGCACCAATCGGAATCACGAACAAAATCTTTCGGTTAAGTTTCTTCGTTATCAAGTACTTCAGGAGGACCACAGGTAGGCCGAAGGGGACCGATCCATGGAAGATCGGTTTATCAGGGTCAAATTTTGGTTTTGCTGTCAACGTTAGACCCTGCTTCCAACCCAACACTTCTCACGTTTCGAATGATTCCGTCACGCGTCGGCTCCGTGTTGAGCTGCTCCCTGTCACAGTCCTTCTCGTCACGTCCGTGCTCGTTGGCCCTCTCACTCCGTCCCCGCCGCGCTTTGTGTGCCGTAGCAGCGCTGTTGTCAACAACACCAGCAGCAGTACTCGCCGCTTTGCCCTTATTGTCAGCGAGTGCCGTCGGTGAAGGCGGCGACATCGATCCTTCTGCCTCTGTTTTTCCTGCCTCCTTTGTCGATGTCTTCGTGATCTCCGCATCTGCTTCTGCTTCGACTCTGCTCGAAGCCGTTTCTGCTGGTGCTGCTGAAGCGTCTCCGACTGAAAGTGTGGCAGCGGACGTCGGTCGCCTTGCTTCGCCAAACGGTGCCGACATCTCGTCGTCGAATTTGCTCAGGAGGTACTCAATGCGATCGACGGGCAGCGCCGAAAGCGGACGGCTACACCAGTCCCAGTTCCATTTTCCAGGGAGCGTGGCCGCAGAAGACAGCAATGGCATGTTCTTCTAAACATGCACAAGGTCGCGCACAGAATGCATGCGTATGTGGTGCGTGTCAGCCAAAGGTGCGGTGCAACGTTGCTGGCTGTTCAGGGCTACAAATATACAAAACAAATACATCTCCTTGACGTGTTCCATTTCACCGGAGTGGACGAACAATGCCGCCCAAGGAATGATCCTGGCCACGCTTGCTTGTGGTGTAGAAATCGCTTAAACGCTCTCTGTGGGCTGTGCATCAATGCACCGACCGTGAATCGCACTTCGAGTGGTCCCATTTCGTTTTACGGGATATGCAGTTTCTTGCAAACTGTGTGGCGATATGAGCCACCAACAAGAACTGGTCAAAACCCATACATCCAACCTGGCCACGCCAGTCTCACAACTCGGGAAGAAATCGTTCAACCGTTGACCGCCACCACTTGGAGGTATGACAACATGGGATCGGTTCAACTGTCGCGTGTGATATATCATCGGGATCCTTCCAACCACCAATTCACGTCACCCCCTGTGGGGCTCGGCGTTGGATTTACGATTATTGGCTTGATTGATCCACACCTTTCCGGACACAATTCTGCTTGACTTAATCGCCCGCCTCGCCGTGCTTCGCTTGAACGCATAGGTGTCCTCCCAGCCGGGCCCCCTGCTCAATGCAACCCGTGTTCCGCCTGGGACCGCGTCGTCTCGACCGTGCCGCGTAGCCGCAAACCAGTCGTTAGCAGCGCTCGCGACTCCCTCCACGCCCCCACGACCATGGCGCGCGGTGCTACTCCCGCTTCCAACCCCTCCGCCTTCCAGTTCATGTATCGCTTGGACTTCGTCGTCGGAGTCGTCTAAGTCAGATCCCTCCGGACCAGTACCCGCGTCGTCCCTTGCTCCCCAAGAAACCTATCGTCGTCAAAATGCACGGAATTTTCATGCGACTGGAAATCAGTGGCACACGAGCTTCTTCTTCTCCTGTTCGTTGGCCTCGCAACAGAGCTACGCACCGCTATTCCAACAGCAGGACCACACCAGCGTTCTTCTTGATAGGCGTATTCCTACCGGTGCTCCTGTTCACTTCGCGATCCTCACTTTTTCTGAAGCCGAAGTGGTCCCAATTTGAGGGAGGTCCTGCAATGTGGACGTAGAACTTGACGACAAGTCTGAACCTGCGGCGGATCTCGTTCCTCCTCCGACGTGCCGGCCGTGGTGGGTGTCCCTCCGACACCGCGAACCTGTTCTCGCGATCGACACGTCACGCTGAAGGTCCCTGTCATGCGAGAAAGTGGCAGGGCGGGAAGGACAGTTGGGCGATAATGTTTGTGTTTTGACGTGCGGCAGGCAGGGCAGATGTGTTCAGTGTGACAAGCGTCCATAGCCACTGCTCTCCACTTGAGCAAGGCGAAGCGGTATAACTCTATTCGCTTGGGGAACGATGCTTTGACTTTTACTGGTTGAGCACGACGTTTTTACTCGCGAGGTTCAACGGACACCGTGTGGTTGTACACAGGCTACGACTTGCGGCGTTGCCAAATGCTTCACGTAGAGGCACGTGTTGCGGTAAGAGGGCACCGAAACGGCGTGGGTCGACCAACTATTTCCTTTTTCCAGGCTCACATCCACATTGCCTGTCCGGCACTGGCGCCCCTCCCGTACTCGCGTGCCGCGTTGCGGTACATCTTGGCCGTTCGAGACGGCGGAGGCTGCTCCGATACCACGCCCACGTTCAGCCCAAGACCCACGCCTGGGCCAATCATCGCTCCCAACGGCGTGTCTTCGCCACCACCCGCGTGAGCAAGACCTGTTGCCGGCCGAACGCCTTCCCCGGATTCCGCACGTAAATTGTCAGCAGCGGTCGACGGCGGAGGCGAAAGGACGGTGGAGGAGCGTTGTCGTTTGCCGTTGGAGGAAGACCAAGTCGATTGGGTGAGTGATGAATCCTCTCCGCCGAGTGAGAGTGCTGCCGTTGAACGAGAGAGTCGCACCGTTGACGGCATGGTCCGAGGACGGCGACGGCGGGGAGAAGGCACCGGTGCCACGGCGATCTGAAACGCCAGCGGGCAGAGTGTTGGGTGGGGAAAAGGGTACAAGCAGCAGAACAGATAGCGTTGACGAGGCGACGTCGATTGTTCTTTATTTGCTTGCAATGAAGGGTAGAGAGAGCCGTTTGCAATGATGTTGTTGCAATGCGCTGGGCGATTCTATGCCCACCTTTCCGTCCGTTTTTCACTCGGAGAGAACGGCAATCTCTTCGCTAACCCTCACCTCGTACTTACTCTCGGCTTCCCAGCGATGTTGTCCGCACATTCGACATTTACTGCGATATCCTACGCCCTGTGCATGCTTGTAGAAGCCACACACACCACACAACATGGCACGGGATGGAGCGATGTCGCAAAGAACCAAGGTACCGTCTCGTACTTCCGCATTCACCTCCGGGCTGTTTTCGCCGTTGCCCTGTTTTTCTTCGGTGATGCGGTTGTACACGGCGATCCTGCTGGGGTTCTTGGAAATTGCTGACAAGACTTTCACCTCTTCTCTCCCGTAGTATCCGAGCGTCGCTCCTGACCTCACCGATTGCTCACTGAACGCTCTCGTCATTGTTGTCGGAGACAGATTCCCCTTCCGGTCCGCCGCACGCGCGGCCCCCAGGTGATCGATACTCGATACCGGACGGCCCGTCAACGTCGTTGCCACCGAGTTCGAACCACGGGCAAGACGGTCCTTCCCCTCTTGGTTCACTCCCGATGAGGCAGCCGTGGACGTTTGCGCGGCCGCAGGCGAACGCGCTGAGGCCGCGCGGTGGCAACTCCGGTGCTTCTCGATGGTCGCCAGAGCTGCCTGCCGTCGCTCGGCTTCCTCCTGCCGCTTCGCCGCGACCGCCGCCTCCGTCCGCCGGTGCGCCGTCACCGTCAGGGGGTTGGGTTCAGGTACGGCTTCGCCAGCAGCACCGTGCTTGCTGCGGCCCGCCGCAAGAGCGTCACGATCGTTCTCCTGGCAATCACCTGGGCGCGAGGGAGACGTGGCGGCAGCACCCGACGGGTGGGATCCGACTGAGGCGGGCGTGCTCGCAGCCAGCCCTGCGACAGGAGGACCAGATGACGCCATCCGTTCACCGAAGGTGACGCTTTGTGGGGTTGAGATGGCGGACGGAGAGGGATGGGCAGCAGTGGGGGCGGCGGACGTGGCGTCGAGCACGGTCTTGTAGAAGCTCAATCCTCCGCGGGACGACGTTGAACGCCTCGAGGTCTTCTGGGCACGCAATCTCTCCACCTCGTCCAGTAGTGCGGCTGTCATCTCCTCGTGGAGCGGCCGCACGCGGACGGTGTCCACCAGGAAGCTCCATCCGATGTTTCGAAAAAGCCTGGCACGAGGTTGCGTTTGTAGTAAAAACAATACTGTGTGCTAGTTCAGCAACTAGTAGCAGTGGATACAACCCACGCGCGTACAGTTTGTAGCTAGGAGTACGCTCGTGATGGTGGTGAGGTACCAGCCACGATCATGTGCAAAACTTGCCTGCGTTTGTGGTGGGTTTCAGAGGCGTTGGGGAGAGCAAATTGTCCTAGAACCTTGCCCTTGACCGACCATGTCCGCTGGTAGCCATCCTGTATTGTACCCAGCGATCGATTGAATGAGTTGAGAAAAGCCAGGATTGAGTGAGGGTTTGCACGCAAGCCATGGTGATAACTTGCCTGCCCTTATCATTGGCAACCAAGTTCGGGCCCACCAGCGCTGCTGTGTGGTTCGACCACGACTGGTGGAGCGGCACCGAAGAATATCTCATACTCGGACGAGGCACCAGAGACGAAGCATCCTTCGCGATGCGGAATCCTTCAGTCCGAGCCTCCAGTGGCTGCCCTGCCTAAAATTGCTGTATTCTTTAGAAAATATACATACACAGAAAGGCTACCTGGTGGAGATATAACCACAGTCGAAGGAAATCAATGTGTTGGGAAATATTTACAGTCAGCGGAAAAAGAAACATTTGCCAGCCCCTGGGCACCTCCGCGTACCTCTCCAAGAGTGAAAAAACACGGAGGTTTGCTGCACGAACCGATCCTAGAGACCGCGCCCGAGTGACCTTGCCACACGGCCTTCCGCGCCGACGCCTCCGGAACACGCGACGAGCAGTCCTCGTCGTCGTCCCCAAAGCAGGCGTCCCCGATGAGCCCGCTTGTACCCGTCGCCCCAGAAGCGGCAACGCTGCCATTGCCCCCGCGATCGCTCTCGGCGACACCGCTTCCGCTTGCGTTAACGCTGGCTGAAACGCTTCCCATCAAGCGGCCGACGTTAACACCGGTGGCGGCCGCGGCGAAGGCCGGCGGTGCTTGAGAGCTCTTTCTGGGCTGTACAGTGAAACGGGGCAGAGGCAACAGGGGACATACGAGAGCGTATTTGCCCGCGCAATCTGAACAATATCCTGCTGGCCCATGATCCACAAGGAAACGGCCAAAGAGCGGAGTACTCGACGAGCTTTGGCTGCAAAAACTGACCGCGTTGATAGGAAAGTCTGGTGGTGGCAGCGATGTACGCAGTCCGAAATAATCGTTGACAGGATGCACTCGGTTCTGAACGGAACCGTGCGCACGAGGTATATGCGCAGGTAGTCTGATTCGGACGCTGACCTCGACGTTGAGTGAGTAGGGGTTGAACGAAGATCTCAGCGCCGGACAGAGGGAGTCCGGTACGGGCCGCAGCTTCTGGCCGGGCATCAACGTGGCGTCAGACTCCAGTATATCCTCCAGCGCCCAGCACGCTAGTCTACCCCGCTCCGTACCCAGAGCAATCCAAACCTTTTTGTAGCGTTAGGGCGTATGGCAAAGCCAGGAAACGGGAAGGGGAAAAATTGGTAATCGAACAGGTTGATAGACGCGAATCCGACCCAAGGTGCATGTTCTACGTTAAACGTTTCACGATGGACTCGGGAGCTTGATTCCGCAATAGCGGTGAATCATTTGCTGAGAAGTTGAATCGTTAATTGCTGACATGCATGAAGCAAACGGTGACCGTTAAGGCATCACTATTGAAACCATCGTGTGTGTGCGGTGCAAAAGTGCCACCACCCGCTGGAGAGCGCAATGCTTTGACAGTACTCGTTAATCACAAGACAAGGCGTTTGAAAGACGCAATGTTCCCCGATGGATTGGCACCTCGCCCTCGTCATTCCCCTCCGGTTTTGCACTTCCAGTAGACGTAGCACTGGGAGCACTTGAAACGGACGGCTCATTGTCAGGGATCCGATCCTTCTTGGTGACATCGCCACGTTTTTTGCGGACTTGGTCACTGTCTGCGGAGTTGCCTCGATCTCTGTCGCCACCCGTCTCGCCGACAACTAAGAAGACCAGGGTCATCAACGACAACGGGTTTATTGGAAGCGAGCTCAGGTCTCCCAGCGAACCAACTCCTGCGGCGTTTAGGTACGCTGCCTCTGCTATCCTATAACATGTTGCGTAGTTCGTGTCCTTAAACTGCGAAGGAGAAATGCTGTCTCTGCCAATGTTAGCTCTGCCAGATGTGAAAGCCGCATTCAGGAGCCTCACCACGTCGTACTCAATTGGTTGGCCAATCGTACGAAGCCACGCTTGTTCTCCTGAAGTGCTCTAGAGTAAATGTACACACCCCCCATTAAGAGACACATTTTTTTCAAATGCACATATCTCCGCGCACAATCCGCGGGGACCCCTGATTTCTTTTTCAAATGTGCAAGCGTTCCGTTAACTTTCGTTTGAGCACTTCAGCGTCCCGATCGGGTCACGCACCCACGAGATACAGCAACACCCGCTCCCACACCCGTGATGCGGGGCATTTTCGTCCCTGTGGCGGGTCTGTTGCTAAGAATTGCGAGCATGGGCCGGGATGCGACATTTGTGGCCCCTGGCTGGATCGATCCCAATTTTTTTTTTTTCTACATAGACATGAGTTGAAGCAAAGCGTATACGAAAAAAGTCAGGTCTTGAAACGCTTTGGATCTCACGCAATCACCACATCTTTAAAGTGTCTCTTAACGGGGGCGGGGGTGTTTTCCACCGTATTATCCCGGAAAAATTAGGGGTATTACAGGAGCCATATCTTCCCAGCGCTTACAATTTTTTTTTTTTTGGGAGGTAGCCTGTGATGTTAGCTATCGTACGATACCTCGACGTCAACGATATTCGTCCTATTAGTCAAGAACGAGCTGTTTGAGCGGAGGGTGGCTTAAGTGTCTCTTAAATGGTACATTTACTCTATCCACGGCACAAGGACAAAAAAACGCCTGGTGGAAACTCTGCGCCAATACCTTCCGCTTCCCGCGAGGCAGCACTGCCTCCATCGTAATGTTGGCTCTCTGCTGATCGAGAATCGGTGGCGGTGGACTTTTCCATTCGAAGCACCCCGATGGAATTCAAGACATCCAGCGACAGCCCCATGGTTCCCGCTGGCACGCTCAGCTTCACGAAGCAGGTTAACTTGAACGTCTCCATGTCAAGATGCCACAGGCACACCTGAGATATGGGTTTCCGTTCAGAGTTTGTTGGGGGTTGTCGCGGGCCTCGCAGTCGTTGTTGCGGTTATTTTTGTTTCTTGGCATCCATCCGTGATGCACGGCAGCACTCAATACGTTGTAGGCACTGCCTTGATGAACGCACTTGAGGCGCCCGTATGCATGTGATGTTCAAGTGCCTTCTCGTATTGGTGCTGTACGTTCTTTTCTTTCGAACACCCTCGCTTGTCATCCTGAGGAAAGCTGGGCGAAATGTTTGATTGGCACCCACCTCGTTGGCGGTGGGGGAGGGTAAAGGGGCGGAGTATGTGTCTCGACAACCTTCGTCAGTGAAGGAAGGATATCGGAGGACTGCCGACGATTTGGTGAATACCGAGGGGACAACGAGAATATTTCGCGAGGAGGGGGGGGATGGGCCTCAGGAATTGTACTCTTGCTTGGGATATGAGTGAAGCTCACGGCTCTCTCTGTGCGTCCCTCTGTTCGCCCGCGTGGGTTACGTCAATATCTTCGCCCCTGTCACCGTCTTTTGTCTGGTTGTTACTATATTGACGTCTCCACGGCTATCGCTCTGTGTCTTTGTCGCTGTCCGTGCTATCTCTGTCTCTGCTTGCGTCTCCGCTTCCGTTTCCGCGTCGGTCGCTGCCCCTTTCGTCGTCTCTCTTACCCTCGTCAGGTCTCCCAGGGCGATGATAGAGTAGCGGTCGAGGAACACCAGCCCCGTGGAAGGCTCCCCGACGCTCTGCACGGCTGCCGCCACATAGTCAAGATGCTGGAACCCGAGCACTTGTAGCTGTTCCATGGGTTGGCGTTTCCAGATTGAGAGGGGTAAGACGTCAAGAGGGTGCCAACCACAACTAGCGTCTCTGAAGTTTTGAAGACATTGCACGGTGAAGGATCCTCCCGATGCGGAGACACAGCAACTTATATATGTGATTAGATACATGTGAGTACGAAATAGAAGGCACTTCTTGGAACACTTTTCCACGACCCAGGGTTCGAAGCTGTGACCTACCCGCACCTACACCGTATTGCCCACCCTCGTTTGGCGAAGAGTGAGCCCCAATACTTGCACTATTTTTTTACCTCGGCGCTGCTGGAGCAAGTGACGATTTTGCTGAGACGATACGAGTATGCCATCCCTGTTATGGGAACCCCGGGCCCGTGTACGTCCCTCAGCTTTCGTAGCTGTATTGACGCATGGTAGATCCGTGGCGTCAACGATGTGGGTAAAGAGGGCGGGGAGTGAGTCGACCTACGTGCGGAACGGATAAATTATTGCATCAATGTCGGGTACGTTTGTAGGCACGTGCAAATATCCCGATACTCTCTCCAGCACTTTTAGGAAACTCACGGCCGGAAGTTGTTGACTAGACGTGGTTGAATATATTATTCTTCAACCAAGCGGCAAAGTGAGTTTGCCCATTGATGTTCCATCGATTTTGTGCTATTGGGACAGATGAGGAGAATCTGGAAGAGTTGACTACCCCCTCCCGCAGGCGAGAGACCAACTGGCCATCGTCTCTCGATGACCGCGAACGATCACGGTAGGACTTAAACGTTTGTGGACCTACAACATCTATCTGCGTCTGGCCGTTACCTCCTTGAGCTTGCACTGTATCTCGCTTGTGATGACGACGCCTCCGTGGTAGTCGGCGGAGATGATCATCTTCGTCGCCTTGCAGTACGCCATCTGCGTCACCTGCACAAAGCAAGCGAAAAACGGCAAGAACCACGACGCCACCCAACAACACGTGAACGACCCAATGAGCTGACGGCTGACTTCCGGAGATTGACCACTTCACACCTATCGCACGCTTTTTCACAAGATACGCTGTAGCCTACGCTTTTCGGATTGCGTCGACAGCGCTATGCGTAAAGGATATGATAGGGATCACACGCGGTCATGCTCGAAGACACAAGTTTCCTGCCGTAGTTGTTCGGCCTTCGATGATTGGGCGAATGCGTTGGGTACGTTTGGCAACAAGCGGATGCTGAAAGAGGTACGACTGTCGACCATTTGGGAAGTAATTGCAATAACTATTTCACCTGAATCAAGCTGCCAACAAATTTGTTTGACCAATATCTGTCAATGTGGTACTTACCGACAATACAGCGACAAACGTCCCTTGTAAGTGTACGGACTGATATAGCCGACGTCACCGCTAATTTCCCATGGATGCGCGCGATGCAGACAAAAACATAAGGACCCCATTCCACAGGCTACACCATTGGTATGGCAGTGGTATATTTCCTGGCGTACAGACGCAGCTCGCTTCAGGCTACGAGAAAACGCACACGATCGAAGAACGACCATGGCTAACCCGGAGCAGGGCCAACCTCGGCACTGTGTGGTTGCGTCTCATCAAGAATAGCCCCCGTGACGTAGTTAACCAGCAGCAGCTTCCCATCCTCCGTTCCGAGGATCAGCCGGCGCTCGAACGGGAGAGCGAAGCACGCACTGACAATGTCCGCGCTACGGTGTGGCCCGATGACGAGTGAGGGTGAGCAGAATGTAGGCAAGGGGAGGTAGTGACACATCGTCATGTTTGCGATATCCTTCACCCCGGGCACACTCCCTGGATTCAAATTACGAAAGCCGGGAAGGGGCACGTCGAACCCTTTTCCGACGTACCAGGCGTCACAGTCAAGCGCTCGAGTTTCTGTGTGATGTATTCAGGAAAGTGTGATGTACTCAGGAAATCAGACGATGGTTATTGCGGAGGTCGGCAGCTATGGCCATCGTTGCGCGGGTATGAAAACTTCGATAAACTTGAATGCTTGTCGGTGTGAGCACTTCTAGAAGGCATCATGAACGGCTTGTCCTTCTACGTCTCTCATAATACAGGTCACGGAGGGGTCATTTGAAGTGGCGTGTGGAGTCCTCGCGACTTTTTTCCTAGCCCCCTCACGTCAGCACGTACTCGAGTTTTCCTCATGATCCTTTCACGGCATCCTACCACCGACCACGCACCACTCTCTTGTTTGAACGACGCACATAACATTGTACTTCTAGTGTTTAGAGGGAAAACAGCGACCATTGTTTTGCTTCGTTTTTCCATGTCACCCTGCCTGTAAATCGTGTCCCATAATGTCTACTGCCCCGTGCTCACTCTTCCCATTCAATGTGCAGGACTCCAAATCGGGGTCACTCAGAGCAAGCCTTTCGGTGAATTCCCTTTCAGAAAACACACAAGTAACCACAGAGACGCCACCCGGTGAGAATGCCTTAGTGTGAAACACGACGCGTGTCTCGCAGTCCGTTCCTTCAAGTGCACCCATGAACAAGCGCTTCCAACAGTACTACCTCCGCACCAACTGAGTTAATACGACACGTCGTTGGATCCAACTCTCCAACTCGTCGCAAGGAAGCTTCGAAGCTACCAGCCTGGCCACCAAGGCTACGACTATGCAATCTCTGTGTGTGATGTGCGAGAAGCCGCGCTATGATCAACGTGAGTATAGGTACCTCGGGCTGACGTCAATGAGCTTCCGAATATACTCCCCGGACGTGGCGTCCCAGATGTGAACGTTGCGCCTCAAGGCACTCAGGAAGTGGGCGGAGCTCGCGTTGTACTCGGCAGCCGGAGGAACGAAGAATTCCTGGAGTATTAACGTTCCACGGTGCCCAGCGTCGCGCATTCAGTGTCGTTCGTTGTCGGTTTGCTAGGGAAGCTACCGTGTTTGCCGACGCGATTATGTTGGCTGCGTGTTGGTGTGGTTGGGATGGTGAACTCTTGTTATCGGCATTGTCGAGCAGTGCTATTTGTGTGGTCAGGTGTTCTTAATGTGAGTCCTCTCTGACCAGGATATTTTTGGGGGTGCCTGCCTGGTGTTCGAGGCATCGGCCCGGCCCGGACAGGTCGAGGCGGTCGAATTCATGCGATCGTGGAGCTCTCTCGGTTTGAAGCTATCACGAGTTAGCCCTTGGCGGAGACCGGAATAAGCCCCCGTGTGCCGAAACTACATGTGGGGCTTCTCTCTGCATTCGAAGGTCGTTCGTCATGCGCAACGTTTGCGCACCATATGTGGTGAGCTCGACTGCCCGAAGGCAGGATGCATGGAACGGGAGAAACCTGACCTGCCCTATGGGAGTGCACAATGAATAACGTCATGCCCCCCTCACCTTCTTGATCTTTCGTGCGGCGTAACTCATGACGTTGTGGGTGGCGACGAGCATGTTGGAGTACCTTCGGGGGCCGGAACCAAGAGCAACGGTGGGCGAGCAAAGTGTGAAGATCTCGAAGTTCGCGTACAAGTTGTGCGAAACGATTCTTTTTTCCCGAACAGAGGGGCCCCAAACGCCATGGTCGTACATCTCGCAGACGAGATGTAATCAGCACCGGTCATACCTACCTTGCTTTCTTTGAGAGGGCGGATCGTGTCGACACGAAACCGTCAGCAGGTACATGCACGTTGGCTTAGGGGGGTGGATGTGTTCGTAAAAATCAGTCGGCTAGAGTGCACAGCAAGCAAGTGGCCGAACAGCATTTATGCGGGCCTTTTTTGGTCAGCACGAAGCTGTGAGATGCATTGAGAGATCGACTAGCACGCGCACTCCGCTATGTCCCTTCAAGAATCCCCACCCCCCCCTCCTACCACCAACGTCGACCACTTACCCCTTTACTGACAGCTCTTGGTCGAAAGGGAGGAATATTTGCTTTGGCCCTTGCATGGTGCCCGGGAAATGAGGCAGACGGAAAACCATGAGGCATGGGATCGTGTTGCCTCCTGCGATGCAACCACTCAGGTCCCACACCCTGTTTCGTGACACCATTCGAAATGTGTGGAGTTCGACAGTTGATGTTGCGTCTGCAGCAGGTATGGTGCTTGTGAGTGGTGGGCTAATAGGAAAGTATACATACGGTGTGCGTCATCCCGTCTACCCTGAACGCCAGCCTTCGCGCTTTTCGGTAAAGTCGGGCTCACGACAATAGCAAGAGGAATGCGACATAGACGTTTCTTTTCTACTCGTCTTCTGCGGTGTTAGCCAAAATTTCTATCGTAAGAAGGGTTCATTCTCCAGCGCTTTTTCGTCGCCGACCGGAAGGTCACTTTTTTCCCCACGGAAAGGTGATTCTCTGCTTGTTTAGTATGTTCACAGAAAACAAGAGACGGATTTTTCAGAGATTATATCGCAAGCCCCAACGTCGGAAGGCGTTTAACTCCCCACAGGAGCCAGCGCGGGGAATGGCCACAAAACCAACCTACCCACGCGGTATCTGACGCAGTGTTTCAGACTAGCAATCGACTCGAATGTTTAACACGTTTCCTCTGCGGCACAAGCCCCAGGCCATCATATCTTCGCCATATCCGACACGCAAGCAGCTCGACCGTTTCGCCACACCTGATTTCGTGGTTGCAGTCAGCGGAGACAGCCTTCATGTCCTCGTAGTTCGTTGGGCAGACCATCTTCGGGAGTGGTGGTCCATCCGGAACATGGGGTGTAGGAAACGACAAGAACACATTAAATGCGAACCGTGCGAGAGCGCTTGTCGGGAATTCGCGAAGGTGCTGAATGCACATGAAACTCCCCTGTACCTGTGCGACTGTCGTGACAGGTGCCTTGTGTCCGTTCATGGTTCCTATCTTTTCCAACCGATCCGCGTCCCAGGCGATTATCTCCCAGTCGAAACCGGCGGAGAGGAGAGTGCCGCGGAGGTACGAAAGCGCCTGCACACCGAGCGTGTGGTCGCGGAACATTGCGCGGAGCTTCCAGGTCGGCATCTGGTTGTAAAAGGGACGGGGGTAAGGAAAGAGGGGGGAGCGGGAGAGGGGTGTAGGTTCTGCCCTTGTGGCCATCCTTGTGGTTGGGTCGTTGTTAGGGACTGATTTCTCTTCTTGAATGTTTTCGGAGAATGTTGACCGTTGGTGCGCGCAGAGAGTCGGCCCCTGCTTGTTCCTAAAGGCTGCTCGAGTCTTGCTACAAGAGGCCCTGCAGGTGGCAAATGTCATAAGACGCCAAGACAGATCTTTGGGCCGGGGAAGGGGGCCCGAGAGGCAAGTGTTACATGTAGTCTAGATTTATCCTCCTGCTTTCCCGTTTCTCGTGCTCGCTGTCCGCAACCCACATTCTTCCTTGCCTTGTCGCGCGCGGGGCGAAGTAAGGGGGGCACCATAAATGGGTTCATCAATGACAATCTCGGGTCGTCGATGACCAAATGCTGGCAGAACAGACAAACATGTTAACGTTCAACCTTGACGACACCCTCGGATGAAATGATCGCTGATTGGCCAAAGGGTGCAGGTGCCTAGTGTTGGAGAGCCATCTTCACCTGCCACACGCAAACACGCCTGTCCAAGGAGCTAGTGACGACGAGCTCCTTCTCCGCGATACAGACGATGTCCGTGATAGTGTTGCAGTGCTCGGGGTGAAGATGAATGCGCTTGGCACCCACTGCGATTTCGTCGACCTGAGCCAGGTTTACCGACATCGAGAATACGCGATGCGTACACGACATGCCCGCATAGAGCGAAAGAGAGAGGGACACACAATTGAGAGAGACAGAAAGAGAGAGATAACTATGAGAGACCGAGAGAAACCCACAGATACACGATATCGAGAGAGAGAGCGAGAGAGATATTCAGAGAGATACAGAGAGACAGAGCAGGGACAAGGCTGGGGTGAAAGAGTGAGAGCAGATATTGTGGCAAGCACAATGTACCTGATGGGAAGAAACTGATGGAGACGTAAAGCTCCGAGCATCTTTTGGGCGCCGTTCCGTACTCCGCAGGGACATCATCCGTCCATGAGGGCATATTGTTGGCGCACGTGTTTCTGAGCGTACGACTCTCGAATTTCCTTTCCAAACGTCTTATGGTGGGGGCATCGCCTGAGAACTTCTGCCCTGCCATGTTACCATACTACACAATCCATATCCCGAACAACGCCGGTGTACTTGCCTCCCACTCGTAGAGATGGTTGTCGGAGCCAACGGAGATAAGTTTCTGGAAGCACGGTTCCCACATGATCTTGCGGTGCATTAGTTGGTGCATCACCTTCGCCTGTGTCACAGTGAAGAGAGTTGATACTGTAGAGAGGAGGGAGAACAGGATCACCCCATATGCTATGCCGAACGGAAACATCAGAGATTGACAGTATCGAAGAGAGCTGGACAATGCGTCGGATTCAAATCAATTTCAAGGTCCACAGATGAGAGATGATTTCGCCCCACACTACGAGTCATGCAGTGCAATACTCGAACTCCAGCTAGTTTTTATCCCAGTGAGAAAATGAAGTTTCTGGGGTGCCTACTCGTACGCGTACGACATATTGCAGCTTTTTCGAAGAGCATCCACGAAACGCACGTGTTACATGCCATGGAAGAGATAGGGCAGGCATACGCCCCTTTCTCCAGGCCCCCATTAGGCAGATCGTGCCGCAACCCGTCTACGAGGGTTGATATTATCTGCAATTCTGGGGTGGACCTGCCCGCTGGACGATGTTCTACGTCATAGCCTACACAAGCGGCACGACCCTATACAGTGATGTAGTTTCACAGTAACATCGCGAGAACATACCCCAATCACGGTCATGGGCCGATTGCAACGACTCCTCGAAAGAAGTTTACTCAGTTTCGTATTCAATGATCGGTGTTCTACCCTGCTGTTTCATCCGACTCTCACGCGCTTGGGGGAGACCGTAGATTCCCGCGAATAGATCTGTCTCGTTCTAAGAATACACAGGATGCTCGACGGTTCGCCCTGGTCCTAACATTCTCGGTAGACACCCGAATGAATGTGCGCACCCACACGCGTCGCCTGCCCTCGCAGAATGTTTATTTCACACCTCGCTATGGTAGCCGTGTGTGCACCCCCTCCGGTTCTTGACTTCCTTCATGAGATTCACGCTGTGGTCGCTGCAGAACTTTATCATTATTTCGAGATCCGTTTGTCGGGAATCCATAATCATGCAGAGAGAACGCGAGCGAGGCGGGCACGACCATAGAGCAAGGAAAATGAGCATCGCTGCGGCTTATGTGTGTCTACTTGAGGGGTTCGCCCGGAAGCATCACAAACACAAGCCTCACATCCTCGTAGTGGTAGTCCTCTGGGGAGCCCATTCAAAGAGTCTTTCCGTGAGGCCGATCGATGAAACGTAGCTGCGAACCCCCCCGGTATTTTGTCCCCGAGACAATGCTGACATCGAATGTACAGAGCTCATCCAACCCCGTATTTGGTTTCTGTTTCTTTTTCGTATCACGATGATCCCGTCAACCACACCAGAACGCGCGCGGGACGGTCACCCCGAAGCGCCCCGGACGGCGGGTGCGGGGAGGCAGCAATGGGGCTGTGTAGCTCACAACAAGGAACCCAGTGCTTTCAGGAACAACCTCAGCGCGCAACGGTTAATGAGCCCAGTGTCATGCTGCCGCCATAGTGCAAGTCATAGAGCTAACAGAATCACCAATGATTCGTGCTCCACCCAGCGCCTACATCATGCGATGAGACCGGGACTCGCTTGCCTCACCAGGGCCACCCCCACAGAGAACAAGTGAACCAAGCGAGGCATCCTCTAACCCACGAACGTCATAGGCGGAAGGGGGTTGATGACTCACCACGACTAGGTAACGGCCGGGAATGTAGGCCACCGTGTGCACTGCCACGTGCTGGCCTTCAACGAAGTACGGGTCCAGAAACTCATGCTGATGGTTGGGCTTTCCGATGGAGTCCAACGCCTTCATGAGGCCAAGGGGGGCGATGACGCACGTCATGGAGAAACGTCAAACAGTGAAAATTATTTCGAAGTATCTTATTCTCCAGCCGAAAGGTTGGGTCAACTTGTGACCAGGGGAATCGGGCAGGCCTTGGCCGTAGGCAAAACGAAATTCGATTTGGTGACGAAAACACAGCATCACCACCATCAACAACATCACCATCATCAACAAAATGAACGATGCTAAGCTACAACCACAGGTATTTCGCTAGTTCTATCCCACCGATTATGTTGCGGGGGCTGACGTGGGCCACGTGCGTACTATACAGCAAGCACCTTCAGGATGTTGGAGCCCTTGTCAGCGTAGTATGCCTGCTTCAGCTCAGGAACGTACGTCATGAAGGCAATGCCTGGGCCGTGCCCGGACCTGGGAAGACGACAACGGGCGCAGACGATGGCGACAACAGCAATTACAGCAATAAGAGGCTTATGGCGCGGGCAAGGGCACATAGTAGGAGGAACTGGTGGATGGAGAAATGCGCGCGGGAACATTTTTTCCAAACATCCACGAGAAGCAGGGTAATGGACATGTTTACCGACGCCTAAATGTGTCCGCCAAGCGTTCGCTGTGCTAGGTTGGCAAGACTCGGTAGGGCAGCAAGTTAGGACGCGGAAGGAAGCTCGACCTTCAGAATCAATGTTGGGCAAATGTTGCCGTCATGGGTTTGTTGTGGTACGTCACTCTTAGTGTCGTTGCGGTCATGACGCTGTTGGTGGTGTTGGTGGTGTGGTGGGTGGCGCCGATATAATTATTTGTGTTGCCGCCTATTCTACTGCTGATACCATGCTATGCTGCTAATGCTGCCTTCTTTTCCACATACCGTTCCCTATGTACCTGGTGTGAACAACCCTCTAGCGTTCATCGCCCAAAACTTCATTGAGCAGCTACAACAGCGACAGACGCGGGGAAGAACGGGGACCGTAACCAAAGATTCAGATGACTATGTTTCGTCCGGTGTTTGCGCCTCTCACTCTGCGGATCTGATCATGGTGCCGCTACGAACAGTCGCCTCGTCCTCGGCCCCGTCGTTCCCACCGCCAACACAACCAGAACCGCCCCCACAAAGGGCCACTCCCGGCAGAGACACGGGCTGGTACTCGATAATGAAGTCGTCCGGCTGGAAAGCAGCATTGTTGGTTCCCTGCTCATGTCAAAAGTGATTGCGACTCAGAGAAACGAGGATCGCGGGGGAAATGCGCTCGAACATGCTGATCACAGTGTGGAACATGTGCTGGTTTCCGCTCAACATTTGTACTGGTCATGTCGCCCATGCTCTTTTTCGGGCGGACAGGCGGGCACACAGACGGAACGGTACACAGACAGACACACAGACGGACAGAACTACCGACTGACAGATAGATATCTACACGATATGACAGAAAATGCAACCGGCAGACAACCGGTGGACGAACGGACGAACCTTCCCACTGATGACCCCGAGCTCGATGCAGAACGACGTGAACTCTTCCCAGTCCACGTAGTCGTTGCCGTTGATATCTGACGATGATATTCAGACACGACCTTGATGAATTTCCTTTGCATGTATCTCACAGATTCATATTCCCAACGGCGGATAACTTCATAATTCGCGGACCAGTTTAGCATTGAATGCGACTATCAGCCCCTCACGAGGAATCGCACGCGAAACTACCTATCTGATCGAATAGCTCGTCCAACATCGCCACCACCCTCGCCGCGTCGGCCTTGACGTGAAGCCCTTTGGTGGTCTGGTACAGGTGCATGAACACCGCGTGGACAAAGGGGTGCCGCCTGAGGCCTCGGCTGTGCCCCTCGGCGAAAAATTTGTTCTTCATTTGCGGGAGAGCCTGCCGGTAACAACGTCTTTGCCGGGTCAACGAAAGCACTCCATGGTTCCTACAAGGGAGAATATGATGTGATGGCAGCCATGGTCAAGGGCGACCGCGTTCTCTCCTTACGATTGCCTTGGATAGCGACACAGCGGGTTGGTGGGTTGATGGGCACGTGTCAAGGTTCCTCATCCCTCCCTCCACGATATCTCTTTGTTTGCATCCAAGCCATGTCGGCATGGCGACCACTATACTCCCCCCGTTGCTAAAATGAAATACTTCAACATGATAGTGTGGCTACAGAACCCACACACACTGGATTGGTGTTTGAATGGGGCAGAGAACGCCATCTTAGGGGCGAATGTGACATGTGGTGGATGGATGGAATGTAAGTTCGCCTGGGCAAGGCGAAGAACGGATGAGTCCGCCCCCGCCATTTGTCGCACATGTAAAACACGATTTCGATTTCTATACCTTCGACGTGAGCGCCGCACATAAGGCCGGAATGCTGGGCAGTTTCATCGCTACCGCTGAGATGGCGGGGCTCGCCACGTAGCCAGACATGAGGTGCTTCAGCGCGGTGGTATCGTGACACCGTAGCTCGTCGTAGATGGCGGTAACGATCCAAGGGCTAGACGCGTTCAGCCTCGAAAGCATGAACAGCACCACCACGTTGTTCTAAAAAGGACGATGGACAGTTATGTAGCGAATGTCCTGCAGAGTTAGGTCGAGCCCTAACGGTTTCTTGGGAGAGGGGAATGGAAAGCAGCTTGGAGGTGCAACCCTACGATATTGCCCGGGTAGAGAAACAAGCCTGCTCGTCGGCAGTTGAGTGTTACGACTCGGACGACGTCAGATGCATCTGAACGAAACACACGCAGCCAGCGTAAATACCGAAGAGAGCGCGTTTCCTGGCGTCATTCTCGATGGCGGTTGTTCAGCCTGAAAACCGATGCGCATGTACTTATACACGGGCGATGAAGAATCGGACGGACTAACCGTTTCGAAACGAAGTATTTGCCACTTGCATGGTGAAAATATGTTCCGGCGAGGCCAATGAAGGCTGGGTAAATTCCGTCATCCCCGTTCGCCTGACCCCTTGTCCGAAGACTCCGCACCCACGAATGGCCTCACGGACACCTCTATGTTCCCCCAAACGTCAGTTGAGCCGTTGCATGGTCTGTTCATTCACACCAACCTGCTGGTCGTGGTGCGTGTCGTGCTGCACTCCGAAGATTCTGGTGGATGACACGACGCGTTGGTGCCAAGCGGGCGTGAGGTCGACCGCCCCGCCCTCGTTGCTGAACCTCCGGAAGCGGAGGCTGGCGCATACGCATTTTATGCTGGATACCGCATGAGCCTATTGTGTTCGAACAAAAGAGTGCTTGTGAATGACAAGGTTTTCAAATAGGTATGTGCTTCTAGGTCTTCGCATATATGAAGTATGTAGATATATATCTATGTGATGCTTAGCCGTGCCCAGTCAAGGGGCAGGGCCCCAAGATTCAATGCGTGCACGATTCGATTCCAGGAAGTCCAGATATAGAGTTGTATCCCTGATGATGTTGCCTTCATCGTCATCGATGCAATAGTAGGCCATGGTAACCACGGGAATAGGTCTCGGACCCACCAATGCCACCAGAGCAAGTTCGCCTTGTTTTTCCATTCCGGTGAACTGCCACCGAAACACTTCAGAGATATGGGCCAAACAGAAAAGAGGATGCGGCACCGGAGGACGTACAGCAAGAGAAACCCTGCACTGATCTTCATAATGACGTCGTGTAGTACAACATAAAAAACGACAACGGTAACGGCAGCGACGACGCCGACGACGACGACGCCAACAACAACAACAACCACCACAACAATCACAACAGGTCAGGTTGTACATTTGTCATGAAAGTACCAGAACCTTACCTGAAAGGTCATCGACAAAGATCGGACCCCGGCCACGATGGTGGACACTCTCGGGTCCACCCTGGTAAGGTCCAGCATCATCTTCTCCAGGTCTTCCTCAAGCCCGGCCTCCATGTTGTACACCGAGTCATCGATGAGAGCGGCTACGTTGCTGTACGTATCCTGGACGCAGTCCACTAGCGCCAGCGACTTTGCCTTGATGTGGCCCGAGCATTTCGCGGTCCCACACAGCAAACATCAAGGCGGCGCATCGACAGACTACTTCCAACTCAAGGTGATTTCTCAGGGGAAACCTTTGGAACCTCAGGCTGACAACGGCCACGGTGGCGTCGCGTGCTCCTGACAAGCACTACTTCACCGGCGCTGCTCGTGCATCTACCAGGCACAAACCAAACATCCCTAGGAATGTACACCAAGCCAGAGGCACTCTTCAGAGCTCGATCCATTTGGGATGTGCCGACACATTGCACGAGATGCTGTGTGGAACTCATTTTCGCAAGCTCTTGTGCTGTTGAAAGGTCTTCGCGGTTGAGCGATTTCACGTCATGAGTTGGAGAAACACAAAATCATGTGTCCATTTTGGTTGTATGCTTTGGAGCAAGGAGCTGGTGCCACGTGTCTAAGTTATAGCTACATAGTTTTCATTGCCTGCGTATGATTTCACAGGTTCGCGCGCACGTGCACAAACACCACGGTAGCAATAGCACGAAACTAGAACAAAATGAACAACGTACTCAAAGAAACACCGAAACTTCATGCGCTGATTACTTCTCGCCTCTCACATCATCGTCAAAGAAGACCATCACCGCGTCAAGGTCGCACACAGCATTCGTGGTGGACGTATCCCATCGAAAACCCTGTGTGATAGGCCATCCATACATTCGGTACACAGAGACAGAGAGGGCATCAGGGAGGTAACAGAAAGGGGCTGAGAAGGCGTAACTTATGGTGACACGGTTATGTTCTGTTGTGGTTCTTCCGTTCGACTTCAAGATCACACGTTTTGCTTGCCTAATACCTTGTACTTATCACCTACCATGCAACATCCCTCCGTGACAGCACCCAATTTCCATCCCTTCTACGGTTAATCTACTGCCGACCGTAACCTTTAGTCGGGATTGGCCACGCACGACCAGTCACCATGCTGAAGCCCCCGTCACGTCAAGAAATTCGCATCCGTTTCAACGCCCAGAGCAGCTCTTTGCGTCGAATGTTCCATGTAGGTCTGTCCCCCAGATGATAGTCACGATTACCAAGAGTCTTCGAAAATATGGTCACTTACCACAAGCAAGCAGGGTGCATTCACCAGCGGATAGGTGTCTTGCGCTGCCCCTAGCTCTCGGAAAGGGTCCTGCAGAGAACATTTCGGTGATGTTGGTGGCAAAGTGTGCTGTAATACGCTTAAGGCTCACTGCAATTGCTGATTCTGCGAGTGAAACGGATCGGCATGCCTACCGTCACCAAAGCAAACCGGTTCCATGCAACAGATGCCGATCGACGTATGTATGCCGATGCTTTCGATTTGGGACTAATAGATGAGTACGCGGACCAAGAACGTCACATCGTCAGCTTGTGGACGCTAAAGGGGGGTTGAGTGGCGACTCCAGGGAGATATCGGGTGAGGCAGCGTCACCTCGAGTTCCATATCGTCTTCGAAAAGCCAAGAAAACAAGTCAACACATGTAGTTTACAGTACACCAAACACCATAAAACACTTGACAAATGACACACACATCAAGCCGTAGTTTTCCACCGGGCCTGTCGCCGGCGAATACCGTTAGCGTCCACGCTTCAAATTGGCAGTTGAGAACGCAGTGCTCAACAGAGTATCGAAAACAACAAAGTTTTAGCACAAGTTGTGAACCCGCATAGGTAAGAACCCTTACACTGAAAACAAGCGGGCAGTCATTCGTAGCCTAACCCGAGGAACTAAGAAGATCCCAGCCTCAGTCAAAACTAAAGAGGTTAGTCTAAGTTGCAAACACACAAACAGCGGCTATCAATCACGCAAGGATATGGACAGACATCTCAATATACGGTCCTTTGAGGGTGAAGGTCGCATGAACTGTCGCTTAGCAGCAACCGATAGAGACAAGTGGAAAGGAGAAGCATCAGAACTGGTCTCGAGCCGCACACGATTAATTGCGGATGGCCTGTGACGTCACGGGGTCTACACTACATATTCGCAGGGCACTTATCTAACCCGGCTTATCAAGAGAGACAAATCAGTGGTGTCCTCTACGATGATGCCTTGAGATGCTTTCCATCTCTCTGTCTCTGTGGTACAAAAGTGCGCACGAGGACGTGGTTCAGTTGTGCGCTTTAGTTTTACGTCTTGAACGCTCGCGTCTTGGTTGCCTGGGCTGCAGGTGTTTCACATATTTTCTACTTCTACACAATTTGCCGTTATCCCTATTATTCCATTATTTAACGCCGCCCTTGGGTTTCTTCGCTTGTCTATTGTGCAGAATGGTTGGACCGAAGGCTGAAATGTGGTCAACAATACAAGTTTCTTACGAACTTTTAAATCTCTTCGCTAGCAGACGGAATCTGCTTGTCATTTGACAGAAAGCGCTGTACGGTACTTATCCCCACTCTGTCCGCCCATCACAGCTCTGCTCTTGACACTCACTCCTAGATGGTACAAATGTTTTGATACCATGGATAGTCAATAACGCACCGAGATACATACATATACGGCATGTCCGTGCTGTAGGTTCTACATGTATTTCAGAATCTTCTCCCAATCGCCATCTACGACGGCCACAGTAGTAAATAGTGATATATGTCGCAGAGATTGCCCTTCCTACATATCTAGACGTGTACAATGTCAGCCTCTGTACGCTGCCTTATCTCGCAGCGCGCAATACAAATTCAAATGGATGCACGTACATGTTCTCAATCATAACTGAAAACAACTAACTAAATAGCGGGGGACGAACGCTGCATGGCAACTCATATTCACTATGCGCTGCACGCCTCTGGTGTCAGCTCGTCGTCAAATGACTCGAAGCGAGGCTGTCATTACATCGGTGCCATCGCAAAAGCGGTACGCACCGACCATCGATTCCATGGTTCAAAACCAGCAACTAACTTCCAAACTTCTCAAAGGTAACCACGCCGCGTGTGCTACCACGCAAACGCACATGGCCGCATCACGTTACCTTCTCCTCGAGGTCTTCATCTGAGACCTCGTCTCTCTCAGTTGTCTCCGATGGGGCCATTGCCTTTGCCCCGCTCTCTCCAGGCCCGGGTCACACTGCTCTCTGCGCATGCATCCGCTGGGGTGTCGTACACACCTCAACGACGTGTTTCTGGCAAAAAACAACACAAGACACGCAAACATGCGTTCAAGTCGCTGAGAATGATGTCGCGTGTCGCGTGCCGCCTTTCAATGTTGCGTTTCACCTGAACCGACACGGATCCCAGCGCGTATTCGGCAGACCACCACTCTCCTGTTCCGCAACTTCAAGGCTACAAGCCTACCCAGCACGCACACACACATTCGAGCCCTTGGCCTCTTTGTACGAATTCACCACTTGCACCACGCACGCTTGTTAGCGTGGTGGAAGGTCGGTGTGCGTGGTGAAAGGACGGAACGCGGTGGCGGCAGTGGCTGAGGGACTACCATCGATTCCCGTTGAATTGCATCTTCAACCAGCAGCAACAGGAGAATGAGTATCATGACTCCACCACCTGGAGCTGGGTCTGCGCCACGATGCTCAACAGAATTACGGTATTCATGTCCCCTCTGCAGCGACGAAGGATCGACAAGCTTGACAGCAAGGAACTTGGCCTCACACCAGCAACGTCAGCACAAAGGACGAGGAAAGCAGCTACTTCTCAGTTTCTCTTCTCCTGGATCTTTACGTTCGAGCGCCAATGCTCCTAATTACGCCGCATGTGATGCGTGCGGCGACCTCTTCTCTCCACGGACAAAGCACTCTTGCCAACCAGGACCTGCATCCTCCCCATCGCCCCCCGGATTGCTGCTTTCACCGATAGTGGAAGAGGATGACGGACAGCCACTTCTATTACCGTGGAACCTCAACGACGTCAGCAACGCCCTGGATCAGGTTCGACAAGATACTCTTGAAACGTCAATTTTTTCGACAGTCAAACACGTCGATCCGTAGATGGCGAAAGTATTTTGTAAGCACCTCCAACATGTCCTCATTCTCATTGTCCGAGCATTTGGAGCGGTTCATATGGACCAACAGGAATTGGATACCTCTAACATGTCTCCTCTCGCAGCGGAAAGTTTCATAGCAGCACGTGTTGAAAGACAGCTCCAACTTGTCCGAGCGACCAAGCTGCTTCATCTTACCCCAGCGTTGCACGGATCGACTGACGGACGGATGAATAGGGTCTCCCGATTCAACCGCTTCGCAAGTGGTGACCTTAGTGAGCCTATCGCCTGGCTCCTGCTGTACGAGAAGAATCGTAGACTTCAGGTGTATGCAGACACAGAAAGTAATCGCCAGAGGAGAGCCACACGTCTTACGCATGAACGAGGAGGGATTACAAAAGCTGCTAGTGCCTTGATCTCCCCAGCACCATCTCCGCGCAACAACGTCACATTGGAGCACCTCCAAAATTTACACCCTGATGAAGATCCTGAAGATATCGCTGCTGCGTGGGATTCCAGCATCAAAGCTGCAGAAGATAGTGAAGGAAGGCACAATATAGACTTCATCGCCGAAGCTGAGGAACCTTTTGAGCTCAAGTTTATCAAACAGTCGGTAAACAAGGCTAATCCGCAGAGTGCTCCAGGTCCTGATGGTCTACGGTTCTCATATCTCCAAGCTAGTGGCATGAGCGATGATTTCTCTGAAACCCTGGCGGACTTCAGCTACAAAGTGTTCTACTATGGCGACGAGCTTCCAGATTTGTTTTGGGGCCTCCACACCAGTGCCAGCCTTTCTGCGTTGGGAGAGAAGAAACGACCGATCGCAGTTGGAGGAGTTTTACGGCGCATCATCAGTGGCAGCTTTTGCAGGCAGTACAAGCAAGGGATTGCCGACATCTTCGAAGCATCAAACCAGTTTGGAGGAGGCGTTCCAGGAGGAGTAGAGATAGTGGCTTCCACAGCAGCTCTAAGCCACCAACAAGGCAGCACTATCCTATCTTTCGATGGGAGAAATGCTTACAACAGCATTCTCCGATCGTCCATCCTGACAGCAGTAGCCACCCACACGCCACACTTGGTGAAATACTTCGGGAACATCTACGCTCGAACCAAGGCGAAACTTTTATTCAAAATGGAGGACGGTTCGATCGAGATTGTTCGTTCACAGCGTGGAGTGCAACAAGGATGCAATCTGGGAGGGTTCGGTTTCTGTGTAGGGCTTCTTGACACGATGAAGGAGTTCAACGACAAGCCACCAGTGCCAGGAGCCAAGCTCATTGGATACGTCGACGACCTCCAAGTGCATCTTCCACCAGGTTTGGCTAGAAATATTCAGGCCATCGCCACCGTAACCAACTGGATCCAAGACCACCTGCTGCAAAAAGGCATTGAGCTCAGCCTCCCGAAATCGAAAGTCCTTTTCCCAGAAGGATTATTCTTCTCCTCTTTGACAAACGACGAACAGCGAGATTTGACGAAAACGGGTCTCTCGGTTGCTGAAGGTGGTATGGCCATTGTTGGAGTCCCAGTAGGGACAGAGTGCTTCCAGAGGAGTTTCGTCACCAACTTCGCCCGCGGTAACCCTGCTGAGTTGATACGCCGCCTTTCCACACTTGACGACCCGCAAGCGAGCTACCAACTGCTACGTTTGTCTGGCGTTCCACGCTTGTTTCATCTGCTGAGAACGATTGCACCGAGCATTACCAACACTGCCGCAAGAGAACATGACAACCTGATGATATGGGCAGTAAGCAAGATCGTTCTCGGCAAAATGGCAAACACTGTGGGAATTCCAACCGTGGAAGAGGTACGCGCAAACCCAGAGAAGAGTGAGGTCGACTTCTTCAAAGGTTCAGCTCGGGCACAGGTGCACCTGCCCATACGTGAAGGGGGGCTTGGAATTACGAGCAGTGTTCTCATTCGAGAATCGGCTTTTGTGGCAGGGCAAGCATTAGTGTTCTCCAAGTCAGTGCAGGCATCAACAGGACTCACCATTGAACAATGCCTACCGCAACTTGCACAGCTACCAACAGGATTAGCTCTGATTGACTCCCTCAAGAAACTAAAAGAGATCATCACCAAAGACAAGCTCGAAAGAGCTGTTGGTCAGTCATGGACTAAACTTGTTACATCTGACGATTTAACTCCCACTCTTCGAGGGGTTTATCTCATGGAGGCCGGGAAGGTAGTAGCCGAGAGACAAAATGGAGACGACAACCCTGACGAGGAACCACCATCTCCGTCGACATGCGGGCGAAATGAATTTGGCCGGTACTATCAAGTCTTCGGAGCTCAAGCCGTCCTGTCGAAGCCCCTTCATGCAGCAGTCCGCCATATGGTAGTAACAGGCTTGAAAAAAGCAGGATCCCAGTAAACCTCAAAGAAGAGAGCTTTGATTCGCTTGGAGGAAACAAAAGACAAGGGAGTTCTATCATGGCTGACAACGCAGGGGCTTTCGATGGATGAACGGATGCTACCTGACCTTTATCGAGAATCGATCGGTCGTGTACTGGGGAGTCACGACCGAACTGACTACGATACAGGCAGACTTTGCAGCGCAGGTGCATTGTCACCGTGTATGGAACGGTTGAGCCGACCCCATTCCCTGGTCTGCGCGAAGACCGGCACCTCAACCTTCCTGCACAATAGGATGGTTCGCGTGCTGTTAAAGACATTACGCGAATGCCACATGCCAATCGCTGTTGAAGACTCTTCCCCATTTACTACAGGCACTTGTAGGGGAAGAGGGCTCTACAAGATGGATTTAGTGATTCCCCCAGGATGACACGCAGGAGATGAAGAAGAGGAACTCTGCACCAAATCCATCCTTATAGATGTCACAGTCGTCAATCCATCTGCTAGGCGAAGTATCGACAAGTCACTCCAAACGCCAGGATCCGCCCTCGAAGATCTAGCTGCAAGTAAGGCAAAACACTATGCGGGAACTTTCAACCCGTCTAGATCTACCCTCCTTACTGCTGCTTTTTCGACGTATGGTGGTCTTGGCAAAGGCACCAATCGACTTATCGTAGCTATCGCCAACCACTTGGCATACGAAGCCTTTTGCAAAGGGAATTTCGCCGACGAAACAGCCTTGATTCGCCTGAAGGCTTTTCATACGAATAGGATTCGGAGACGATTTACTTTCGAGCTGGCTCGTTTCCTGTCCGTACGAACTCGTGATGTTTTTAAACGTCATGGACTGCTCATGGATCAATTTCCACCCCGGCCAATAGGTTGGGATTTCGATAGTAGTACAAACGAAAACGATCATCATGATGGCGATGAGGGAAATTCGAGTGGCAACGATGAAGGAGGAGGAGCAGAGGGAACAAGAGGAGGACAAGNAATTTCCACCCCGGCCAATAGGTTGGGATTTCGATAGTAGTACAAACGAAAACGATCATCATGATGGCGATGAGGGAAATTCGAGTGGCAACGATGAAGGAGGAGGAACAGAGGGAACAAGAGGAGGACAAGACAGAGACCAAGACAGCAGTCGAGAAGGGAATCATGGCGTGGAAGAGAGCAAGAGCTTCGAGCCAGAGGACCTCCCGCACAACAAAAGACGGAGAGACAGAATAGAAGAAGAGCTGCCAAAACGTTTCTGCCAAAATGACGACGAGAATAGTGATTGTAGTAGTGGTGAAAGCAAGAAGAATGATAGAGAGAGCACTCCTAAACGAAGTCGAGTGCAGGGTGACAGTCTTAGTAGACAC